ATAATTTTCCTTTTTACAAAAATATATGATTAGGAAAGTGATAGTTTTGACTTACATCTATTTCTGTTTAAACATACACCTATTGCTTTTGTGTGTGTGTGTATCACTGGGAATTGAAACTAGGGTCCCATGTAAACTAGGCAAGTGCTTTACCACTGAGCTACATCCCCAGGCCTTTTTAATCATTTTTATTTGGAGATAAGGTCTCACAAGTTGCTCTGGCTGGCCTTGAACTTGTGCTCCTCCTCCCTCAGCCTGGATAGCAGAGATAACAGGGTACTGTGCCTAATTCACATGTCAGTCCTTTGTTGTTGTTGTTGTTTTAGACAGAGTCTCACCATGTAGTTCAGGTTGGTTTTGAACTCACTCTGTGGCCCAGGCTGGCCTTGAACTAGTGGCAGTCCTTCTGCCTAAGCTTCCTGAGTGCTTGGTGTACAGTTGTGCATCACCACACCTGGCCTGTTGGTCTTAATAAAAGAGAATCTTGGGAGATCAGTTATTTTGACTAATAAATAAAACCTGTGTAAGTTAAAAACAAAAAATCTTAGTTTTTTTTATATGCATTTTTTCTACTAATCTTTATTTCTAAGATTATTTATGTGATGTTTTAGTCATAAAGTAGGTTGCTCATTAAAAATTCCCAAAGCACATTAGTTTCCCATGCAATGTTAGTCCTAGAGAGACTCCTATCCTATAATTGTTGTTGCCTGTTTCCTTTGGGATTTTTTATTTTTTCATTTGAGGAAAAGGTAAAACAAAATAAAATGTTTAATCAAAAAGTACAAATCCAGTATTGGTGGGATGGGCCTATAATCCCAGTACTTTGGAGACAGAGGCAGGAGGGTCACAGCTCCAAACTAGGCTGGACAGTCTAGCAATTTAGCAAGGCCCTGTCTGTCTCAACAGAATAAAACAAAGCAAAATGAAAAAAATTTTGAAAAGAACCCAGGTTGTAGCTCAGTGCAACTCCATAGGTTCAATCCCCAGTATTGGGAAGAGAAAAAAAAGCAGAAGAAAAGGAGAAAAAGAGTGCAGTAAGTGAGGTAATGGGATATAATGAAGTGGGCCACAAAGGGTGGTGAGTGTTGCATCAGTGTTTTTGGTAGGTTGGTGATCAGCAGTCAGCCATGTTTGGAGAGTGCTGCTTCCAGAGAGGAGACGTGAAGTTAACCATGGGAACAGGAACTTTTTTGGATATAAATACTGGCAATGACCCTCTGAATGGTACTGGAGGTAAATAATTGGAATTATCCCATTTTTAAATAAAATATCACTTTTTCTATGTATATTTGTTTTGTGTTGCTTATACTATTTTCCTATCTCTA